CTTTTTTCCCCAAAAAAACCCCATTTTTCCCCCAAAACCCCTCATTTTTTCACCAAAATCCTCCTTTTTTTCCCCCAAAACCCCACTCCCACCTCCCGAATTCCCACTTTTTTTCCGATTTTTACCTTTTTTCCCTTAAATTTTTTTTTTTTCCTCAGCGTTCTCCGCAGAGCTTTGGATAAAATCGCCGAGATCAAATCGCTGCTGGAGGAACGTCGCATCGGTACGGCCGCCAGGGGGCGCAATGGCGCCACCGCTTCTTCCCCTCACAAAAAAACGGCGGGAAAAAAAAAGGCGGGACCCCCCCCTTCAAAAAAAAACCTCAAAATTCCACCAAAATCAATCGGAATTTTGGGGAAAATTCATCGTTTTTTGGTGTTTTTTTTAATTTTGTGTTCGCAGCGGCCAAAATTGCAGGGATTTACAGCGAAGCGGAGCCGCCCAGGAAGACGATGAGGAGGGGGGTGTTGATGACGTTGTTGCAGCAGTCGGCCATGACGCTGCCGCTTTGGATTGGGAAACCGGGAGAAAAGTGAGGAAAAATGAGGAAAAAAAAGGGTTTTTTGGGAAAAATTATGGAATTTTGTGGGGAAAGTTAAGAATTTGGGAGGATTTTGAGGGATTTTTTGGGGAAAAAAGGATTTTGGGGAGAGCTAAAGGGGGTTTTGGGGAACAACATGGATCGGGAAACATGAGGGAAAAGTGAGAAAAATGAGTGGAAAAAAGGGGTTTTTTGGGAAAAATTGAGGAATTTTGTGGGGAAAATGAAGAATTTGGGAGGATTAGGGTGGTTTTGAGGGGATAACTGGGATTTTTGGGGAGAAAAAAAGGGATTTTTGGAGGGGATTAAAGCGGGATTTGAGGAGCTGATGACGCCTCTGTGGATTGGGAAACCTGAGGGAAAAGTGAGGAAAAAAAGGGAGTTTTTAAAAAAATTAAGGAATTTTGTGGGGAAAATTAAGAATTTGGGAGAATTAATGGGAGTTTTGAGGGGAAAATTGGGATTTTTGGGGAAAAAGGGGGGATTTTGGGGAGGACTAAAGGGGGTTTTTGGGGAGCCAATGATGCCATTGTGGATTGGGAAACCTGAGGGAAAAGTGAGGGAAAAAAAGGGATTTTTGGGAAAAATTAAGGAATTTTATGGGTAAAGTTAAGAATTTAAAAGGATTATGGGGGTTTTGAGGGATTTTTGGGGGAAAAAAGGGGGATTTTGGGGAGGATTAAAGCGGGATTTGAGGGAGCTGATGGCGCTGCTGTGGATTCCAAAACCTGAGGGAAAAGTGAGGAAAAATGAGGGGAAAAAAAAGGGATTTTTGGGAAAAATTAAGGAATTTTGTGGGGAAAGTTAAGAATTTGGGGGAATTATGGGGGTTTTGAAGGATTTTTGGGGGAAAAAAGGGGGATTTTGGGGAGGACTAAAGGGATTTTGATTGAGTCGATGACGCCATGTGGGTTGGGAAACCTGAGGGAAAAGTGAGGAAAAATGTGGGGAAAAAAAGGGATTTTTGGGAAAAATTAAGGAATTTTGTGGGGAAAGTTAAGAATTTGGGAGGGTTTATGGGGGTTTTGAGGGGAAAACTGGGATTTTTGGGGAAAAAAAGTGGGATTTTGTGGGCAAAAGGTATTTTTATGTGGGAAAACGGGTTTCTCTGCAGGAAAAAGGGATTTTTATGTGGAAAAAAAGCATTTTTGTGTGGGAAAATGGGATTTTTTCAGGGAAAAAAATGGGGATTTTGGGAAAAACAGATTTTTATGTGGGAAAAAATGATTTCTCTTAGGAAAAAAAGGATTTTTATGCAGGAAAAAAGGATTTTTATGCAGGAAAAAGGGATTTTTATGTGGAAAAAAAGCATTTTTGTGTGGGAAAATGGGATTTTTTCAGGGAAAAAAATGGGGATTTTGGAAAAAAAGGGATTTTTTTG